CAACTTGGATACGACTGATCGTGAGACGTTAAACAAAACAATGTTAGAACGTAGTACAGAAGAAATCAAAACAATCTAATTAGCGATCACATTGTTACGCGATAACCTCTACGTGATAAATATATTTGTCTTGAATAAATCAAAACAAATTTTTTCTAAGAGTTCCCATAAAACGAACTAGTACCTTTTAAATACTTTAGTAAAGTTTAACGATGATCTTCTATGCAAAAAGTAGTTTAAAAAATGAATCTTGAATAAATGAAATTTCCTTCGATCCTTGAAATTCGATAATTTCATTTCCTTTCGTCATAACGTGTCTAAACGAAGTGTTAACGAAGATCGTAGTTAAAATTTCATCGTTTTCCCAATTTTTATATGACTTCGATGTCGTCAATTGTGTACATATTGTGTACATACATGTGAGTGTGCGTATGTGTATGTGTATATCGATTGGTGGCCAGGACGTTGACCATCATCCGTTAAAATTGAGTACAGTGTACAATGTACGACCGCGACGTATAATCGATCAGCAACGTTATTGATGAGTAAAAAATAACCAAATGGTTTTTAACGATTCTATCCGTTTGATTTGTGTTACTTTAGACAGTTCTACTTTTTTTTTTCTCTTTCTCTCCTTTTTTCTTTCTTTCTTTTTTTTTCTTTTTTTTTTTTTTTTCTTTGTGAAACAACTCGCTCGAAATATTCTCACTTTTCGGAGTCAACGGAAATATTAAACGCAAGATTTGCCGTCATAATTTTTGAACGGCGATAAGAGCATTTTGGAATTAAACGATCCGACTCGTTAATCTTGAAACTTTCGCGAATCTAGTCTTTAATTAAAGCCGGCGGACGGTTCTTATACGAGAAGACGTTTCAAAGCGGAAACTTCTCAGAGCTTCGCGAAATCACGACTCCGTTGTAAATAACGGAATGAACGGCGAATCTGATTTACAATTAATTTGACTTAGCGAAGAGCTTGAATCGGAACATAAGTAAGAATCAGCGAAAGAAGAAGAAGAAGAAGAAGGAAAGAAGAAGAGAGAAAGAAAGAAAGAAAGAGAAAGAGAGAAAAAAAGAAAGAAAGAGAAAGAGAGAAAGAAAGAAAGAAATAGAAAGAGAGAAAGAAAGAAAAAGAGAGAGAGAAGGAATTCTCTCTTTCTATCTTTATTACTATCTTTGGATTGGCCGAAAGATGCCGCAAGTTTTCAGTGCCTAAGAAAACTTCAATAATTACCAGGCTGGATTATCGAGTTCTCAAGAGAAGGAAGAAATACAGACAAGAAAGATAGCGAATGAAAGAGAGAGAGAGAGAGAGAGAGAGAGAGAGAGAGAGAGAGAAAGCAAAGAACAAAACTAGAATGGACTGTAAACGACGTAAAAGAAAACGTAAAGGCTTAGATAACGAAATGAAGTTAAGTTCAAGTTAACTCGAATATAGTATATCTACTTTTCAGATACTATGATATTAACATATCTAGAAAATAAGTTTACTAAGAAAGAAAAAGAAAAGGAATAGAAATGAGCGAGTTACAGAAAGAAAGAAAGAAAGATAGATAGATAGATAGATAGATAGATAGATAGATAGATAGAGAGAGAGAGAGAGAGAGAGAGAGAGAGAGAGAGAGAATGACATCGAACAACTTAAATTCCATTAAAAAGAGTAAAACAATTTACTAGTATGCGATAGAAAGAGATAGAGCGTTTACGAAGAATAAACGGTAGATTCTGTAGACGCGAGTTACTTATTTAATAAGCCAGGAAATTAATTGCATTGGCTCTTCATTAGATCGCCTTTCGAGGGAGAAAAAGAGAGAGAGAGAGAGAGACGAGAGAGACGAGAAAATCGACGATGCCAAACCGGCTCGGTTGTACGCGTACGAGATCGCGATTACTTCGAACGTGACAGGAATTTCTCTTCTCATTTATTTCGCCTCGTCCCTTTCCTCACTTTACCACAAGCGTCTCCTTGCATCTCACATTCAATGATGAAAAATCAAACGAATACCGATACGCGCAGACGGTAATTACTTCGAAAATCGTCTGTTTTGATCTTCGTACTCGTCGTACTCTTCGTATTCGTCTTACTTGTTAGAACGATTGGACTTAACTATTTGAAAATTCGTCGTTGTTTCTTTTACGAGAAATTATAAGGGATTCTACGATAAATGAAAGAAAAAAAAAAGAAAAAAAAAGAAAAAATAAATAAATAAATAAAAAAGAAAGTTTTGAAAGGATAACTTTGAAAGAATCTCAGAGTTGTTAAACCTATTTTAGTATTCATCAGGATATCCGCCGTTATCTTTTACGATTATTTTATACTAGACAAGACAGAAGTTGTAATAATACTTGAGATAGGTTAACCACCCTTGATAATAAGATAAGGACGAAAGACACTTTATAGGTGTATAGTATATGTATATCTGCAGACGTACATAAGTTCTTCTATCTCTCTTCTCACGTTACTCCTGCAATTCCAACGTCCAATTATCGAGAAGTTAAGGAGGATGAGAATACCAAGATATATATATATATATATTATATATATACACACACACACGCACATATATATATATATATAGGGAGAGAGAGAGAATAAGAGGAGGCTGAAGTTAATTTTCAGAGTGATAGAGCCATTCTTCATAGAATTCCGGAGTCTTCGCTCGCAGATAGTTTCCGTAAGCGCATTGTGACTCACTCTTTCTCTCTCTTTTTCTTTCTTTCTCTCTCTCTCTCTCTCTCCTTTTTTCTTTTTCTTTCTTTCTTCATATAACGCACTGAGAAACGAATACGAGTCTTTATTAGTTCAGCGAATCCTTCTTTTTTCGCAATTCTTCGAGAGGAAGCAAACGATGTGTACGGATAGACGAGATAGAAGAGAAAGTAGTAAGAAGAATAAGAGGGGGAATAAAGAAAAAAGGAAATGATCTTGGCCCTCTCAATTTTACGGACCACCTCGTCCAGTCGGCGGTCCGTGAAGAAGAAACCAAATTGCGGCCAATACCACCCTTCTGCATTTGCCCATCTTCCTCTTTCTCCACCACCCTTCGTCACTCCTCGACCAGTTTTTCTTCTTCTTCTTCTTCTTTTTCTTTCTCTTCTTCTGCTTGCATATTACCAGTCTCGAGAAATCCTCGAACACTCGAATCACTTCCAGTCGAAGGATCTTGGATGGTCGGACAACGATGATTCTCATTCTTGCCAAGACAGCATCACGTACGAGACATGGTAAAATAGAAACGACGAGAATTGGCAGGTTACGACGAATCGTCAACGTTTATGATCATCTTCTTGAATTTGCCGAAACGAGGATGTTGCACGTACGTTAGTTTATTTAGATAAGGTACGTTCCTTTTTCTTTCTCTCTTTCTTTTTCCTTTTTCTTTTTCCTTTTCTTTTTTTTTATATATATTTTGATCAAGTAACTTTCAAGAGAATTTCAACCGGCAATTCGAATATAAACGGGAATTTCATCGAGAATCGAGTTTGTTCGAGGAGAAAGAGGATAGGAAGTCCACGTGAAAAATTTTTCCTTTGTCGTTTCCGAGTGAGATGGAAACACACACAAGAATATCTTTTTTCGTTTAAGAACTTCGTCTTTCTTTCTTACTTTCTTATTTTCTTTCGATCACCAAGCATTCTAGAGAAAACTAAAGGAGAGACCTCTAGTCTCTTATTTCACGTATCACGATTTACGATTTTCTTCCGCTTTCTTTTCCGAAAGAATCGTCTCCATAAACGCAGTATCATTTTTGAGAGACAGAGAGTAAGAGATAGAAGAATTCTTGACGAGAGACGGTGAAATGGCGCGCGTAATCTAACGGGATTTATGATGTATGCAGAGTTTACGACTCTATAACTCAAGTGGTTATATTTTCTCGTTGGATTTTTATAATGAAAAACGTATCGATTGCGCCCTTTTACAATTCCGTATTTTCTCTTTCTCTCTTTCTATCTCTCTCTCTCTTTCTCTATCTCTATCTCTATCTTTCCCCTTTTACAAAATACAACAAAATGTATTAATATTCGTCAAAATAAAAAACGGTTTCGATAGCATTAATATAATAATAGAACATAGAGATCACAAACAGAAATTGTATCTTGTTTCCAATTAACGCCGTCTAATTGAACTGTCATCGTTATTCGGTTTTAGTTTCCAATTCGTACGGTCAACTTATCACTATTATGTTTCGCTAGTATTCAATGACACGGATAATAGTTTGAAACATTGATCAATACTAATTATTATTTTCATAATTACGATTTAAAGTCGTTATAGTATTGTCTCTTACATGTCTCTCTCTCTCTCTTTCTCTCTCTCTCTCCCTCTTTCTCTCTTCATTTGTCTGTCTCTTTGGTTTTCTCGTTAAAACAAGGTTATGATTAGAATGATGATTGGAAAATTGGATGAGTTTCAAGATTAAGTTAGGTTGTATTCGAGCGTGCAACGATTTCCTTTATCTCTTCTTTGCCTTTCTCTCTCTCTCTCTCTTTCTCTCTCTCTCTCTCTCTTTCTCTCATTATTCCAACGTACTTTGCAGTAATTAATCCGAACGATTATACCTGGCCGCATTGTTCGAGGCATCAAATTAATTGCGGGAACGTTAAACCCCATCACGGAAAGGAGAGAAGCGCTCGAAACTTTCCGGCCCCTCGTGGCTTCGTCCCTC